CAGTGATTTGGACGAGGGGGTGAAAAGCACGCTGTTCAAATATTATAATAATAATAATAATAATAATAATAATAATAATGTATTTTGCTGAATACATAATAATATGTATTTTGCTGAAATACAGAGAAACAGAAAAGCATTTCAGGTTCCAAACCATGTATAGAGGTAAAAACAAAAATTAAAGGGATGAAATGTGTAAATCATGGTGTAGCCCAATGCTTTTACGAATACGTTTAATCTAGCAAACATATATATAGTATATGCTACTCAAACTGGTAACCTATGCTTTCTGAGGTGGAATATTCAAAAAGTCTAAGGAGGTCAATACACAGCTCCCTAACATTCCTTTGAAATCCCAGCCAGGGGTTGAACACAAGATAAACAACCTAGAAGCAGAAAACACCACCACTACAGCAAAAGTTCCCTTGAAAGGAGAAACAAGTTAGAGCTGTACAAGTCCCATACTGGGTTAAATCCTTTTGCTGTCCTCTGATATATTTCATCCCTTTAAAATGTTACAGCATTTAATTGCAAAGAGTACTAGCAAATGCACTAGTGTACTGTACAGTGCTTTCTGGCCCTTGAGCATTTTTCCTTTCTTATTAGAAATAATTTGGAAAGTATTAAGACTCTAATCTGAGATTTTTAAGTCCATCAATCCTTACTGAATAGTCAGTCTTTTGATTACATAACTGTGCAGTGACATTTCTGGGAGTGGATGAAATTCCTGTAATCTGCAAGTTGTTTCAGGTACATATTGGAAGGCCATCTGTGCATCTCAATAAAATTGCGCTCTTCCACTAAACAGAAAAGACAAAATTTAATGGAAAGCATTACATATGTGGTTTTGTGTGAGTATGCACAGGCAGGTGCACGTGCGCGCGCACACACACACACACACACACACACAAAACAAAACAACTGAAAGATATAATGAAAACTGGTTTAAAAGTTTGGGATACATAAGCACATAATAAAAAGTAAATGAAAATTTAAGGCTGAAACTGTCCATTGTGCCTAGGTTTTATTGCAACATACATTTAATATTAAAAAAACCCATTTGATTTAATTTAGCAATTAATCGTGCTAGGTTTACCAAAGTTAATTTTTAAGAGTATAAACAGGGGAAGAGCTATGTGTCGATATATGCTGCTTTATCTCAATCTTCTAGCCTTTTCAGATCAAATTGCTGCAGTGGTAACTCAAGTCAGTTTTCTACAGATAGGAACAACAGTACAAACAGCAATGTCCTGAGGGGGTTCTGCAATCCTGCAACCCCCATTAATACTGAACACCAAGCAGTTTGCTTCTATGTTACTCTTAAGGCAAAATGGACAGATGCATCTCAAGAGATCTGGCTTTAGCAGATGATTTCTGCTTAAATCAGTCTTTTTTTTTTTTTTTTTTTTTTTTTAAGGCACAACTAATTTCTCTTTATCCCTTTCTACTTCCATTTTCCCAAATAACTTACAGGTTTCCTTTGATTTATACGGGTTCTAGATATGCAAATTGGCTCTTATGTGATGACCCTTTTTATACCCCAAATTCATTATATGCGAGGTAAATTCACTCTTATGTGATCAGCTCTGGGGCTCCATTTGTCCCCACTCACCCTAGCCCCTAGGCTGCGACATGCTGTGGTGCAGGCAGGTGATGTCGGCTGCTCCCAGGGCCACTGCAGCAGGGGCTGGGGTGAGTGGGGAGAAGCAGAGGCATGGGGCACGGCGAGGTAAATCTGTAGGGGAACGGAAGGGGTGTGGTGCAGCCCAGGGGCTGCAAGCAGGTGGTGTTGGCTACTGCAGGAGAGGCAGCACTGGGCTCTTCATGGTGCTTGGGGCAGGCAGCAACCTGCTCTCATCCTCCTGCAGGCTGGGGCCAGCAGTAGCACCAGGCTCTTCCAGGCGCTCAGTGGCAGTGCTGGGAGGGCAGGTTGGGGGGTGAGGGGAGCTACAGTGAATTTTGGGGTGGCAGCAGCCCCCCCCATCCATCACCGCAGCCTGCCCTAAGCGCTGGGAAGAGCCCGGTGCCACCAGTGGCCCCAGCCTGCAGGAGGACGAAAGCAGGTTGCCGCCTGGCCCGAGCACCAGGAAGAGCCCAGTGCCGCCCCTACTGCAGCCCCGGGAGTGGTCAATGCCACCTGCTTGCAGCCCCTTCCCTAGCCCCAGCTTCACTCCCTCTCTCACTGCTGTTAGAACGTATTCCTGTTTGTTACATTATAAACTGGGGTCCCTTTATGCACCTTCAATTTATGCACAGTTTTGTGAGAATGCATCTACCACATAACTCAAGGGAAACGTGTATTTGGCTACTATTAGCCCTTGGAAGTATCCTGTTATTTTGATTAGCAATGTATAAAATGAGACTCAACCATTTATTCCCCAAAAGTCTTATTTACCCTGCTAGGCACTCAAAAGTAACACTACTTAGCATTTTATCTTCAGTCCTAAAATAATAGAAGATTTTTTTTTTAAGGTAGCAATTGACAAATTACCTGAAAGATCTTGGAATTCAGGCTTTTGACTGAAGATGAGGTAGTTAGTGGCAATGAAATGAAGTAGCCAAGTTGAAAGGCAGTCAGAGTTGTGAAACTACAAGCAAAAAAAGAAACAGAACACTGCAACACTGTTCATGACTATAATATATAAAAATATTAGTACCATTGCATACTCTGTGGGTGCATCTACATGAGATGTTAACTGCACAGTAGCATAATTTACTGCAAAGTAAGCACGTGTGTCTACACGTGCACACGCTTACTATGCAGTAAACCTCACTAATTGCAAGTAAATTTGCTTACCTGCAAATGCAAGTAGCAAATTTACTTTCAATTTGTAATGGTGCAGTAGCACTCCTGTAGATGACTAACCAGGAGCAGATCTGCTCCCAGTCAGCCATCCACCATGGGGTAGATTACTCCCTGCCCCCAGGAGCTGCCTGCTGCTAGGGTGGGCTCTGCCACCAGAGCCCAGGTGGAGACTTTGTCCCTCTGCCCCGGCAGCAGGGAGCTCCAAGCCCCCTTCTCTGAGATCGTGATCAGGAAGCAGGGGCTGGGAGACCCTCATCTCTCAGCCTGAGCCCAGCGCTGGGAACTGCCTCCTGGTGGTGGCTGGGGAGCCTGTTTCCTGCCCAACTCTGTGAGGACAGAGCTGGGTCAGGAACAGGCTGGGGAGCTTGTTTCCCTGCTCACGGAGCTGACTAGGGAAACAAGCTCCACAGCCTGTTCCCCACCCAGCTCTGCCCTCGCAGAACTGAGTGGGGAACAGGTTTCCCAGCCTCCGTCCCATGTGCAGGGTGGGGGCCATAAGTAGCAGAAGACCGGGGCTAAGGGGGATCAGCCCCCCAAATGCAGGACAGCAGGTAGGGCTGCAAGGCAGCCTGGCCTCAGGCTCTGGACAGCTGCAGAAGGGGTGGTGAAGGGCACATGCACATCCAGGGTCACAGCCCAGCATAGGGATTACTGGCTCTCCAGCTGAGCTGGGTGGTGGGATGGTCAGAGACCGGGCAACTCATCCAGTGGTGCAGAGGGGGGCACCCGCCACTCTGTGTGCTCCAGTGGGGACCCACGGCTGTGTGCAGGGCAGAGGCAGCGGCTGCTGCTGCGCACTGTGCTTTGCTCCCTGCTGCAGCTGCCCTGGGAGCAGAGCAGCACCTCATGCCTGCTGCTGCTGCGCTGTGTGTGCCCCCTGCCCACTCCACAGTGGGATGCACATGGCGTCATGCAGCTCTCAGGGCAGCAGGGTATAGTGGTGGCTGCCTCTGCCCCATGTGCAGATGGGTGTGTGCAGCTGCGGGAGCCCCTGCGCCACTCAACAAGCCGCCTGGGCTCTGGTTGTTCTGCCACCTGGCCTGGCTGGGGCCCCACTCCACTCCTTCACCACTGGGGCCTCAATCTTCCCCCTGCCCTGACCCTTTCCCCTCCCCCCCACCCCTTCCTCCACAGACTTACCTGCTGGGGGTGGCACACATGCGCACTCACCCCCCACCCCAAATCATTTTCTCCCTCCACCTATGGCAGGGGCTAGAGACTGTCCTGGTGAAGGACAGGTCCTAGCCCCATGCCCTGATTAGGTGATCAAGGCATAGGGCTTGGAAAGAGCTGCAGGGACAGGGTAAGTCCCAGCTCCTTGCCCCTATCTGTTGGTGGTGCAGCTAGCACCAAGCTAGCTGCCCCACCAGCACATGAGGGTGGGGGGCTGGGACCTGCCCCTTCCTTGAAGCTTTAAGTGCCCTGCACCTGATCAGGGAGCCAGGGCCAAAAGTCCCTGCCCTGGTCGCAGGCAGACCCTGGGGGCAGGCTGTAATGTCCCAGCCTGGGCCAGGGGACAGCCATCTCTTGGCCCAGTGCTCCCTACCAGCCACTGAGCAAGCACCCACCAGGAGCCTAGAGCTGCCCCTGGTGGTGGCAGGGGCCTATTCCAGGGCCCCAGGAAGCAGGAGCAGTTTGCTGCCATTAGTAGCAAATCTGCTTCCACTTCCCTGCATGTGTAAATGCCTAACTGGGAGCATTTACTTGCAAGTAGTTTATTCACAAGTAAACTGATCCTGGATCAAATACATGCACGACTTTTCTCTCAAAACATGATAACCTGTTTTTAAGACTGGTAATCAAACGAAAAGCAGGAAAGAGAGGCATAGACTGATGATGAGCACACAATATACCCAGGTAAGTGACAGGGGCCCAAAGAGTCCTGGGGTTAGGGAGGCGGCGCATTCACCTTCAGGAGGCCTTAAATGCCTATACACCAATGCTTGTAGTATGGGGAACAAGCAGGAGGAACTTGCCCTCCTGATAGCTAATGTAAACCCAGACAGTGTGGCTCACCGAAATGTGGTGGGATCCAACACAAGACTGGGCAGTGAACATCAAAGGGCTATAGGCTGTACAGGAGGAATAGAATAGGGAGGGAAGGTGGAGGCGTGGCGCTCCATGTCAAAAAGCAATTCACATCCTCAACAAGCAGCACTGGGTCAGAGGAGGGGCAGACTGAAGTGCTCTGGGTCACATTAAAAGGGGGTTGGGGGAAAGGGACTTAATGGTGGGGGTCTACTACAGACCACCCAACCAAGGGGAAGAACTTGACCGGGAATTCTCAGGTCAGCTCGCAGAGGCAGTTAGGTCAAAGGATGTGGTCATCATGGGGGACCTAAACTATCCGGACATCTCCCGGGAAGAGCAAATCAGCCAGGTCTGACAGCTCATGTAGGTTCCTAGCCATTTTACAGGAAATCCATCTAACCCAGGAGGTGCAGTCCCACCAGGGGAAATGCCTTGTTAGACCTGGTCCAGGCCACAGGCAACGACCTGGTGAGGGGACTCCAGGTGCTTGATCACCTGGGCGATGGTGATCATCGCCTACTGGAATTCACCATCCAGCGCAGGGTGGCAAAGGCCTGCAGCAAGACAGTAACCCTGGACTTCAGGAGGGCGAATTTCAATGAGGTAAGGAGATTAGTCGTGGAGAGATTGAGGTCCCGGATGGGAGGGGAGTTGGGAGTCCAAGAACAGTGATCGTTCCTTAAGGAGATGATCCTCCAAGCTCAAAGGGTGGCAATCCCAACAAGGGTCAAAGGGAGCAAGAGTGCTCAAAAGCCCCCCTGGCTAACAAAAAGCATCCAGGAAAGTCTCAAGGCTAAAAAGGAGGCATACACCCAATGGAAGGGAGGGGCCATCACCAGGGAGGACTATACAGCCATTGCTCGGGTTTGTAGGGACGCTGTTAGGAAGGTTAAGGTGAAGACGGAACTGGGACTAGCAACCCGGATCAAGGATAATAAGTCCTTTTTTAAATACACAGGGGGTAAAAAGAAGGTTCTGGGTAACGTAGGGCCTCTGCAGAACACACTAGGAAATCTGGTGGTTGCACCAGATGTCAAAGCTAACTTATTTAACAAATTCTTTGCCTCCATTTTTCTGAGCAGGGATCAAGTCATCCCCCCACATCATGATCCCCGACGGTCCCAGGGGAGGCACAGCCAGGCCCAGGGGTGGAGTGGACCTAGTCAGGGACCTCCTGGTGGGACTGGACACATCCAAATCAGCAGGTCCTGACGATCTCCACCCCAGAGCGCTGAGAGAATTAGCAGAGGTTATTGCAGGTCCCCTGGCACAGCTTTACAAGCACTCACGGCACTCTGGTGAGATGACAGAAGAGTGGAAGAGGGCCAATGTGGTCCCCATTTTCAAAAAAGGGAGGAGGGAAGACCTAGGAAACTATAGGCCTCTTAATCTTACCTCGGTCCTGGGGAAGCTCTTTGAGAAAATTATCCAGGAGCACACCTGCAAGGGACCAGCAGGGGAGTGTATGCTTAGGGGCGAGCAACATGGGTTCAGAGGCAGGTCCTGTCAGACCAACCTGGTGGTCTTCTATGATCAGGTCACCAAATCCTTGGATGCAGGCACCACAGTGGACGTAGTCTTTCTGGACTTTAGAAGAGCCTTTGACACTGTCTCTGACCCCATTCTCATTAAAAAATTAGGCGACTATGGTGTCGATCCCTACACAGTCAGATGGGTCACCAATTGGCTGGAGGGCCACACCCACAGAGTGGTGGTGGACGGGTCTTTTTTGACCTGGAGGGATGTGGGCAGTGGGATTCTGCAGGGCTCGGTCCTTGGGCCCACACTGTTCAACATCTTCATCAGCAACTTGGACAAGGGGGTGTCTCCCAGGGAAAGTAGTAACAAGGGTTACTTACCGGCAGCAGGAGACGCAGCACAGCAGGGACAGAATGAAGAGCCCGCACGGCTCGTCAGTCGCCTCTTTATTCAATTAAGGCCGGCCAGTGATGTCAGCCTCAAATGCCAGCCAGCAGAAATAAAAATGGCAGCCGATACCACGGAGAGGAGGGAGGACAGCAGCAAGAGAGGGGAGCTGCAGCCACCTCAGGGAGAGGAGAAGATCCTCCCCATGGGACCCGCAGAGCCCGATGAGCCAGGGGCAGACCATCGGCAGTGCGGGGCAGAGCGCCCCGTCAGGAGCACGCACGGGACAGTGAGGAAGCAACAGGTACTCCGGACTCAGAGACGGAGCCAGAGCTGCACCCGGAGCCCAGGCAGACCCCAGGTGGGAATATTGGGACGAGGAAGCCACGCCAGAGAAAGAAAACCCTAGGAGAGCCCCGAGGGGGTTACAAATCGAGGCGGGTACTGCTGCCGGTCCCAGCTGGGCTGACGGGAGAACGGGAATGAATCCTGAAGGCGACAGGTGAGGAGTAAAGCATTCCCCAAGCTACAGCAAGGGAAGGATAGTAAGGGGGCAGGGCGTAGCCATGTCAGGAGGTGGCTCATCATTTTTGTGTTTTGTTAACATGTCATTTGGTTGCGTCGTGTGAAGGGGGAAAGTAGAAAGTTTGGGGGTATCCCCAAGGAACGGGGCCAAGGAGGAGCCTTGGAAGGTTTTTTGTGTTTTCCCAAAAGAAGGGGCGGAGGTAAGGGAAGCCGAGGGGGTGGGCCCATACCGGCGAACTTGGCCACAGGCGACGAGCATCCAGATGTCAAGCCATGAGGCGCGATCCCACCAGAGGGGACGAGGCCGATGGAGGGACAACTCACCTCAGGGGGTGTGAGGCTGGAATGTAAGGGTGGTGGAGCCCCGTGAATGACCGCCAGGCGTACCACGGGCCACCGAGCGCACCCAATGAGCAATCCTGTCTACAGAGGAACGACAAGTCGTGGCAGGAAAGAATGGGAGAGGCGACTTGAGGGTGAGACACCTGCTCGGTCAACAGCATGAGTCTGTAAGACACCTAACATTTACCACCAGAGCGAAAGGTCACACGAGAATGACTATTCGAAGCCCAGCGGTCACAGGGTGAATAGCACCCTGTTCAAATTTGCAGAAGACACTAAGATGTTTGCCTTGAGGGA